GCGTTATTAAAAAATAATAATACCCCGGGCGGAGTAAAAAAAAAAAAAAACATTCCCAATCTGAGCTCTGTCACTAGCCTCGCGATAACTACAGGTAACGTTACTGTAGGTGGCAGTTGTCGCGAGGTTAGTGTGTGAGGTCAGATCATGAGTGACAACGCGGGGAAAACAGGGACGGATGATGGACGCTATGACAGAGCAAGGCACTCCTGTCAAAAAAACAAAACCAAAACCCTCATGTACTAGTAAATACCGCGATCGATCAATGGGATAGCGAATTTACTTTTCTGAAGAGGAGCAGGGTGGGGGACAGTCACGCGTTTTGTAAGTTTTGTAACTGCTACTTTAGCATCTCACACGGGGAAGGAATGATGTATGTCAGCACGAGAAAGGGTGTTTAGCATGGTACGAAATATTGTTACAGAGAATAGGATGACGTTAGACAACAGAACTGTTTGCTCTACTCTCATGTAAAATTAACCACTCTGGCCCAGTCCACAATACACTCCTTCCAAAACAGTTAATACAAAGTCTGCAACAAATTTGTTCAATAACTCACTAAAAGAGTAAAGAAAAGAAAAACTGCAAATGAAAAGAAAAACTGTAAAAGAAAAGCTATATGAAATGAAAATAATGTGTGGAATGAAAATAAAATGTAAATGTAAACCATCAATGTTAAATGAACAGAAAATAGGCAAATAAGCCTTTAAATAAATGCTCTTAATATATACCCTATATATACCATACATATATATACATATATATATATATATATATGGTGTGGTGGGACTGCTCGCGGTGGGCGCTGGAAAATTTCCCTTATTTTCAAATCCAAAACTTGACAGGTATGTGTTAATTAGCCTACCTTAACTTAGAATCTTGCAGTCATAAACAGTGGATCATCTCAGACATTTTTCGTTTCTACATTCTGTTTATGTATTGTATTTGTTAGTGTAGCCTATACTTGCTAGACACATGTCTGGAAAAACATATTGGCAATGTTAAAAAGGCAAAAGTAAACACTGTTGGTTATTCAAATATAATGAATCATTATTTGTTTGATAATATCCAAATAACAATATCTGGTAGGAGGGTTAAACTTCCTTTTTTTTAAGGATAGAATATATCAATATAATTTGATATAGAATAGAAGATAGATACATAATAATTTATGTTAAATAAAATGTTTGGTTGTTCAGCATTACAGTCTCAGTTTTAATTTTTTGAGAGTGCATTTTTGAGATTATACAGTTATACTAGCTCTTTATTGACAGTATACAGGATGGTGTATCGGGGTCAGGATACAATATAATGAGATGGGGGGAGGTCAGATGGGATGTCAGATGGGATGTCCCCACCAAAGCTGAGACCAAACCTACGCCCATGGCTATGGGGATTTGGTCATTGATGATTTACATAAGAAGGAGGATCATATTTGCATGTCGACGTCAGAGTGTAAAAATAAAACACTTGAACAATCTCTCATTGTGTTTTTGAAAGCTGCTCAAAAACAAAATGGGTGAAGTGTGTCGATCATTTGGGACGGGTGTCTTAGCTAACACCAACTTTTCTGAGTCGTTTATGAGTTTGTTTTGGTTTTGTCTTGTGACCTGTTTGAGCGAAGGTGTGCCGTTCTCTATTGCTAATATTTTAAAGATGCAGAATTCATTATTAAGTGGAAAAATGTCCAAGTGGCAAAAAACCTTTGAGACAGATTTACATATTTAAACAGCTGCTTATCTAACCTCTACCTTTGTGTCCATTTTATTACTAATTCATGATTTGAATGATGTAAATAAAGCTGTTCTGTCCCCCTTGTGGTCCATAAGCAATAACAAAGTTTCACAGACAGGGCTTAGATTAAGACACGCTTAGGCCTTAGTTCAATTAGGGGATTTAAGTAGCTTTTTTAAAAGTGCATTGAAAATGTTTTGCATCTTGAGACCAAACAATGACACTGACTTATTTTAATCAGTGCAAGTTGCTTTCAGTTAAAACATGTCAAACATAAATTTTAGTCTGATACTAGACTCAAGCCTAGTGTGTGAAACCGGGGGCTAGTGTTTTCTTTATGACAATAGTTTTACCTGTCCTGTAACTGTCTATATATGGTGCCTTGAATGCTGTGGAAACGCCTGAGCCGTAAAGGAAACAGTTGTGCAATATTCCATACAAAGAAAGAAATACTAATAATACAAATACAAATATTGTGACAGATACACAGTGAGAGATTCTGAATTAAGACGATGATGAAGAATATTGAACTTTGAATATTGACGATGATGAAGAATATTGTCTGGAGAGCGAGACCAGTTGGCTTTTGATTTAGTAATCTATAATTCTGAAATAACTGCACACTTTAATCATAAGTTGCTCTTCTGTGTGTGAAGTGTCTCTCGGCTGGACGTTTGTGTCTGTCACGATGTCTTCTCATCTGTGTGTTCTGACCCTGTTTGTTCTGAGCGGTGAGAAACACTTAACACTTTTAATCAGCAAATGTGGAGCATTTATTTAAATACAAATGCAATAACATGCATGTTTTACCTTTTAGAAGTGCAGGACTAAACTACAGGAAATTAGATTATATTATGTCTCTGTCTAATAATAATGTATTTGTATGTGTTCTTCAGGTGTGTGTGCTTGACACTGATACGGATGAAATGAAGTCAGTGACTGAGGGAGATTATGTTACACACTGATTTTACTGAAGTATTGAAAGATGATCAGATACTGTGGACGTTTGGACCTCGTGAGACTCGCAGCTGAAATATACAATCAGAACATCAATATGTTTAAGAGTAATGAGACATTTGGAGACAGACTCCAGATGAACAGTCAAACTGGATCTCTGACCATCAGAAACATCAGATCTGAACACACTGGACTTTATGAAGTACAGATTCAGAGGGATCTTCCTCAAGAGATTCAACGTTACTCTCTATAGTAAGTAAATCTATAGGTAGAACCATTAATTTTCCAATTAATTTAAACACACAGTGTCTTAATATCTTGTAACAATTATTCTGGAAAATCTTGATGTTTAAAATTATGAACAATCTTTAGAAATGTATTTTATTAGTAATTGGTAGTCCTAAAATAATATATTTGTTCTTGTGTTTCCTGCTCCTCTTCCCATTCCCGTCATCACCGGTAACTCTTCAAACTGTTCATCATCATCATCATCATCATCATCATCATCATCATCATCATCAGCATCATCATCATCATCATCATCATCATCATCTGGATCATCAAAGTTCAGATGTTCATTGCTGTGTTCAGTGTTGAATGTGAGTCATGTGACTCTCTCCTGGTACGCAGGAATCAGTGTATTGTCCAGCATCAGTGTGTGTGATCTCAGCATCAGTCTCTCTCTACCTCTGGACGTGGAATATCAGGATAACAACACATACAGCTGTGTGATCAACAATACCATCAGAAACCAGACCACACATCTGGACATCACGCAACTCTGTCACTCACACATGTGAAGGTACTTCAATATATGTACCAGGGTAATTTACAGGCAATGGTGCGTGATATAGGAAAATCACATATATATATATTTTTTTATTAATTTATATTTATATAATATATTTTACTTCCTTTTTGCTTTTGGTGAGATCATGAGCTTTTATGAGGTATTAAGCGCACTAATGGTTGAGTGTTTTTATTTTTCTTCTCTCAGACTCTGTCCAGTGTTGTAGTTTTACTGAAGCTGTGATCCGATTGGTCCTCTCTGTTCTGGTGGGCGTGGCTGCTGTTGCTGTATTGGTTGATCATTTCAGATCCATGAAAGTGGAACAGAAAATGAGTAAAAACAGTCTCAGACAGGAGACAGTCAATCACCATCAGTTCCTCAAATGAGTAATCCTATATTCTCCCACTGTAAAAAAATATTTTCATGATTTGTTATCACAACTTTTTATATTCTGTCAAATCAACTTAGATAATTAATGTAGTTACGATAACATAATATTTTGAGTTTCTATTTATTAAACCAATCTCCTTTGTTGTATTAACTCAAAGTTTTAATTTCAATTAACTCAAAATTTTAAGGCAACCAGGTAACTTACTTTAAGTTAATCCAAATTTTTTTTTTTTACAGCATGTGGTCACTAAATGGCGAGGTTAAACAACCCTTACCAATGATACACTGTGAGTAGGTGTTTTTCTCCATGCTTTGCATTTCAGTGTCAATTTGCATATCATATCAATTAAATTTAAAATACTTCTGTACATTAAAGCATTGGTTTGATTTTTTGTGCTGTATTGAGAATTGTATATTGTAGTAGTCTAAGCCTTGTGTTGCAAATATCTTATTCTCTATTAAAGCATATTTTCCTCATTGTGGTTTTCATAAATTTTTTTTTAGATAATGCAAAATACAGAAAACAGAATATTTTAGTATTCTGTTTCCAAAATGTTGTAAATCATTTCATATAATGTTTTTAACTTTTTTTATTTGTGTTTAAAAATAGCCAGTTTACATTAGCCTACAAAACGTAACATTCCAAATAAAAAACGTTCCAAGACACCTTGGTCCAGAATCCCCAGAATCATCAGACTCACCCTGTTTCTGGGACTATAGTATGTATGTCACAAACGCAGATGCAATGTGAAGTTCAACTATCACTGCAACTAGCATTAGAACATTTGAAAATACAGATTCAAATGCAGCTATAATAACCTACTTGAAACCATAAAGTAAATCTCTAGCAGATACTAAGACTCATTTACTAATACTAATATGCAGTTTTTCAACTTGTATGTATTTATTACAATTTATATATTTATTCACTTATGATTATAATGAAATTTAAATTTCATTATAATTATAATACAATTATAGTGATAATTTATTTGAAAATGTATAAATGTATAAAATTAATATGCATTTTTAACCTGCATAATATGTATTGTGTGTGTATATATCGTATTGCTTATTGTTGCTTAAGAACCAAAGAATGAGAAGAAACTGGTCCTGATAAAACACGTCCTCATGTCCCAGACAGCTGCTGTGACGTACGTGGGGCATTGGTGCGGACGTAGATGATCTCGCTCTTGGCCCCGCGGACCTGGTGGTCGTCAGAGGCGGCGAGTTGGGTTTTGACCATGATGGCGTACTGGGTCCAGGGCTTCAGAGGCATGATGAGGTGACCCGGCTCCACCTGGTTGCCCTCGGTGTCGCGTAGTGGAGGCTCCACGTCAGCTATCGCCCAACTGTTGGGGCCACAGGCGTCCTGTCCGTCATATTCAGTCACGTTCCTATAAGGACTGAATGGGACAAGAAACCATATATTTTGATGCTTTCATAGATGATGTAATTTAGGCTATACATACAGCACTTGGAGCTTTTTTAATGAACTAATTACTGTTAAATATAATAATATACAATTATTTTAACATTTTTATTAACTAATTATAATGAAAAATACAAAAATGTTATTAATTGAAGTAATTACATTTTAAGTTTATTAATTGATTATGTAAGGGTTAATGCCCGACGAGGTGTCCATTGTCAGGTTTTAATGGACGACGGCGAGGTGTGAACCGGCCGACGCGCAGCGGATTAACCCGCTTATACCATGGTCACTTTCCAAATAAAACATTTTTAAAACATTAGTTTATATTTTAATTAGGCTAAATCTAGTTTTTACAAATAATAACTTGCCTGACGGTTTATTTAGCAACCGGAGATATTTATAGTCCGCTCAGCTTGTAGAACCCTTCAGGTTCAAAAATGATTTTTTTTTTTCATGAAACACCAAAGGTAGGCATAGTTATTTTTTTATTACACAAAAAACAATTAATCAAACAACAATCAAACAAAAAAAAACAATTAGTTCTGCGCTCCAGCGATTTGCGCTTTTAGAGGGCAATAAATTAATCAGATCAAAGAGAGGGTCATTTGCCTACATGCTAGCTTTTTTATTTACAATTAATTTCAACGTTTCCATTTATAGTGCAATTTGAAAAAGTCGGCCAGTCAGACATAGGGGCCTTTGAAGGAGGATCCACAAAAGCTGGGTACCGCCCATGATGGGCACTTGATGCAGACAGTACGTTGCTCCAGCTTCGTCTCTCACGGACTGACGGAGCCCAGTAAGCCCGCAGACTGCTCTCGCATCGATGTTATCTCCGTGTCGTTTCTCCGTTTTATTTACATTTTTTCTTTCTTCAGCAGCATCCCAGTCGTCAAAGTTGTCATATTCTCCATAAATGTTAAAAGAAATAACGAAGTTGCTCATTGTTGTATTAGTAGGCTATGTAATATCTAACTAACGTTAGATGTTTGTTTTGATAGAGCAAATTGTTAACGGATACTTTGACTGCCTGTTGCTATGGTTACTCACAGCTGTTGTAGGCAGCGCATTTATTTATTCATTTCGAATGGCAAACAGGCAGTTTCACCAGAACTACTTTACTAGGTGTCCTCTATCACTTTTTAACGGACACCCTGCAGCCGATCAGAATCGAGTATTCACCCAGACCATGGTATAATATTAAATGATTACTTTTATTAAGTATTAAAATAGTTAGGTTTTACAGTCTTTCAATGGTTAAAACAATTTACTCAAGATTAAATATTAAATAATTGTACATCTTATATTATATATATATATATATATATATATATATATATATATATTGTATAATATATAATTATATATTTTACTAAGTAATTATAATTAAAATGTGCTTTAATGCTTAATGTAAAAAAAAAAATATGAATCACAATTAAATATATAATAATGAATTTTATTAGCCAATTCTAAAACATTTATTAAAAATAGCAATCTCAATGTTTAAAGCAGTTTACAAAAGGGGGACATGGTAGGCCACAACACTTTTATTAGCGAATTCAAATCTAATATATTAATATATACTTTTACTATTAACTAATAATAATGAATATTTTAATAAATAAAATAATATAATTTTAATAATTTCAATTTCAAAGCAATTCATTTTATTTAAACAAGTATGGCATAAAGTAACATTTTTATTATTTAATAATAGTTAAATAAATAATATATAAATAGTATTTTAATAATACTTTTGAAAACATAAGTAAATTCAACCAAAACTATAACTAGTCATATTCCAAACATACACGTAAATTAATTATATGTATAAATAAAAGTGACAATTCCAACCAAACTGAAAATCAAAATACAACCTCAATTAAAAATGAAAATGTGTGACAATTTCAAAACTATAATAACATTAGCCGCGTTTCCACCGCAGGAACTTTACCCAGGAACTAGGAACTTTGGGCTGGTACTCGGTGTGTTTACACCGCAGGAACCAGGGTCTAAATGAAGTTCCGGGTAGATATTTCCCCCTCCGAAAGTCCCTGCTCGCGAGGTAGTACTTTTTCAAAGTTCAGGAACTTTCGCGGGTGGGGCTTGTGCGCTGAACATGCTGATTGGTTGTGTTCTCGCCGCATTATGATTGGATTTCGCGCAGAATATTATTTTAACCGGTTGTCTGTCTGCAAATAGGGAATTTAATAAAAATAAAAAAAGGCCGCTGGACCGACGACGAGATTCAGGCTTTATTAAGCGTATTTGCTTGCGGAAGAGACACATTTTCTGCGCGTTCGTCCCAGCCTTCTCACGGTCAATGTCCGCAATAGCTGATAACATACGCTGTCTAATTTTAGATCTAACATTAGCATTACGAGCTTTCTGAACACGCTTTAGGATCAGTGCTCGTCTCTTTTCTGCCGTTTTGTTAATTACCTCGTTAGTAAACCAATACATCTCAAACAACTGCAGCACAGTGTGAATCTCTTCCATATTTATTATAAATGTGGAGCTCAAAACTGATTACTGTCTTTTACAGTCTACTGTACGTCACAGGCAAGCAATGAGCAGTCGCGCGCAGTTTACCCGGTTCTTTAGACCGCGCTGTAAACGCAGAAAGCTACCGGTCTGGGGCAAAAAAAGTTCCTCTGAAAAAAGTTCCTGGGACAAATTGTTCCGGGCACTTGCGGTGGAAACGCGGCTATTGTTTCTAATATAGGGTCAGTTTATGGTTAAGTTAACAGTCCAGGAACAACATAGGATGGCTTCAGGTGGTTCAGATGTGACACCTTTTAAATTTCAGGCTTCAGTTGGATCAGATCAATATATAAGAGTATAAAAGAGAAGGAAAAAACTCACGCTTCCTTATAGAAGACCATGAATCCCAGCAGGTCTCTGAAATCTGAGGGCCAGAACGGCTCCCACCTGATGAGGATCTTGTCATGGGATGTGCGGATGTGTGTAAATTTCAGAACTTGGTTTTCATCTGTAAGAAAGGTTCGATATGAGGTCTGGTTTGACATAAAGCTCAAGCTCCAGTGAAACCAAAAGCACTGTGGGTCTTACAGAAGGCTTGGTCTCCATAAGCTGGGATGCTGATGTCGTTTTTAGGGATCCTGTCCTTGGTCCCGGTCACCTCTTCCATCCGGAAGATCTCAGACTTGCAGAGTTTGGAGTTTTGGAGGAAGAACATCCTGCCGTTGAGGATGGTGAGGTTGTGTTTAGACCAGTCCCACAGTTGATGCAAGTTCTGGTTGTCCACGGCGACGAATGAAAAGTTCCTAGAAAGAATGATAGTACACAATGCAAATTACTAGTAGTCGACCAATATACATAGCATTTTTTTAAACCATCGGTATTGGTCGGTATAATTTTTTGTTTGGCCGATGTTCATTTTGACAACGTGCAGGACTTTTATTTTGACAGCGCTGAGAATGCGACATTGACAATTTAAAAAATCGATCACTACAAATGACAAAGTCACTTGTAACTCCAACAACACAGCTCAGCAGTGGCGTCTTACATACCCGGCTTCCAGCGCTTCCCCGCGAATAACACGCAGCTTGCGGAAGAAGGAGAGGGAGACGAGAGCGTAGGCTCTGCGGATGCTCAGGTAACCCGTGATCTCCTCCAGCTGACCCAGACTGGACTCCAGCTCCGCCGCGATATCGTCTGAGGAACAGAACGTGTTTTTATGCGCATGAGACTTCACACTATTTAATTTCACACATACTGCTATTTAGATACATATTACTATGCAAAAACAAACTACTTGTACGGCTATCTGAAATACTTGACTCTAATTGGTCAATTATTTATTACTCTAAACAGACATTTATATAACAGTGAAATAAGAAGAGGTATTTCTCCTGAAGGCAATGACATTGTTAAAGTTTTTAGTAATGCTTGAAGCTCCTGCCAAGTAAACCTGTCTCTAAATTGTCAAAGCACTGCAGAAACAAAATGGAAATAATACCTTGTATATTAGTCAAAATGGAAAAGGAGCTGTGTATGGAAGTGTCAGAGGGTGATTGGCTTTCAATATGTGTGACACAACAGACGTCTAGTTCTAAAAGATGGAGGGAATTTGGGTGGTCAATCTGGTCAGATTTTTCATTACACCTCATATTATTAATAACCAAAGGGGTGAACAACAGCAATGCTGGCGACAGTGTGGACATCGGAACGCCAATCACTCCCATATATTTTGGACATGTTCAAAGTTAGAACAATTCTGGGACAGTATCGTTTTAATTACTGGGAGGATAATGGGTTATGTCATCCCTAAAGACCCTAAGATTTTCTTGTTAGGTCTACTACCTGGTGAGGTGGTCCAAAAAGACGACATTTATCTTTTAAAAATTCTAATGATTGCATGTAAAAAGGCTATCACTCGGTCTTGGTTAAAGATTGACCCTCCTCGGACTGAACAATGGAAAGAAATAGTGGAGGAGATACACTCAATGGAGAAGATGAAATACTTTCTACGTATCAAAGGACAGATATATAATAAGCGCTGGACAAAATGGTTTGCATATAAAGAAGCAGAACAATTTTAATACTTTATTTTGTTATTATACAAAATAAAGTATTTATTGTTCTTTGTATGTTGTGTTGTAAATAAAATAAAAATTAAAAAAATTCTTAGTATTCTGAAAACTGTCAGAAATTTGGCTGAAGGATAAAACAGGCTAAAATAAACCCAGTACAAAGATTTATTTTAAACATTACAAAATATGTAATAATAAAAAAAAAAAACTGACAAATAAAATCTTGTTTTTATCTATAAAAATCATTTTTATATATGTATAAATACATAATATTATAAATAACTTTATTATATAAATATTTTACGTATTTGGATTTAATTTTTACATCCATTTAATTTTATTTTCAGCTATCTAGTTATTAAGGATACATTTTTTATGTTTTTATAATTAATGTGTTTAAAATGTTATGTTACATTATATTATATCATTATAAATATATACAATTATAAATAAACTGTATATTTTAAATTGCATTTTTATTTACAAATATTTTTGTATTTGGATTTATTATTATTCGTAATACAAATTATTATACAAAAAAATAATTATTATTATTAGCCATTTATTTTTATATTCTGTTATCTGAATTATATTTTTTATTCATTATTAATTGCTATTTTCTGTTATTTTTTAACTTAATGAATAATAAATTAAAACTAACAGACAAAAAGTGCAAAGGATTTTGAAGAAACAGACAAAATTCATGTACGTAAATGCAATGAATATGCTTACAAAGACATTTCAAAGTGTCCAGTACTCACTTCCTCCGTTGATCTTGATGATCAGACTGCCGTTGAGGACCGTACAGCCCCGCAGAGCCTGAGCGGCGGTGACCGAGTCCACCGTCTTCACCCCCAGTTGCAGTTCAACCTGAAAGCATGACAGCCGTGTTTTTTATTAAGAGCAAAGACACGTCCTGACTGTTGCTTTAAAAATGCATTCGCGATGATGTCACCAGCTGGCACGACTTTTCACGATTGCGATTGTCTCAGACCCAAACATATTGTTCCCTCATGTCACCTGCGCTGTTGTTGTGTTAGGAATGATCCTAAATACGGTGTAACTGTATCGTGTGCTCCATTCATGCTGCAATGCATCTGAATTGAAAGGGTCACTGAGGGCAAACGTGAAAACACAATCCCACTGAGACAAAACAAAATACCACAGATAGTTGTGTTGGCCTTGAAGTATGCAGGCTCCGCATCCCGGCAAACACCCGCTTTGTCTGTCCCATATAAAGAGACTATGAAGACGAGGCCTTTTGACGCAAGAATCGGCAATTGCACTGAAAGATACAGTGGAGAGAAAAGTTATTAAAGACATCGTTAAAATAGTCCAAGTGACTACAGTGGCTCAATCTTAAGTTTATCAAGCGACGAGAACACTTTTTGTGCGCAAAAACAAACAAAAATAACTACTTTATTTCAACTATTCATTCCCTTCTCTGTGAGCCGCTAGTCAGTTAACGTAGTGTGATCGCGTAGTGCTACGTCACACGTAGGCTCACTATTGGCCGACGCTGGTCATGTGTGTGATGCGTGTGACGTACAAAAACAGAAGCTTACGCTATTACACTAATGAACTGACTAGAGGCCCACCGAGACGGAAATGAATAGTTGAAATAAAGTCGTTATTTTAGGGGTTTTTTGCGCACAAAAAGTATTCTCATCGCTTGATAAACTTAAGATTGAGCCACTGTAGTCACTTGGACTATTTTAATGATGTCTTTAATAACTTTTCGCGGCTGGCAAGTTTCAATCCCTTAAGAAGCCTATGGAGGAGAGATCCAGCTCTCAGATTTAATCAAAATATCTTAATTTGTGTTCCGAAGATGAACGAAGGTCTTACGGGGTTGGAACAACATGAGGGTGAGTAATTAATGACAGAATTTTCATTTTTGGGTGAACTATCCCTTTAACGTGGTAGCAGAAAGGTACCGGTTCAGACAACGAGCTCAACATGTGAGTGAGTCAACGGATCATTACGTAGCTGCTCTTCGCGAGCTAGTTGCTACTTGTGTATTCGGTACATTCGAAAATGAAATGTTTCGTGATCAACTGATTGAGAAGACATCTGTACCGCTTATTCGGGAGAGACTACTGCTTGAATCCGATTTGACTTTTGATAAAGCCCTGGACATTGCCAGGCAAATTGAAACTGCCAGCGCTGAGGCAAAGACGATGTTGGAAGGAGAACACAAACCCGTGAGTGCAGTACAATTCAAAACTACTCAAAAACGAGCGGGACAACGAAAGAAATGTTTCACCACCAGTGAAAACAGATCAACTCATACTTACTGCTATCGTTGTGGCTCTGCCAGTCACATGGGAAATAATGCATCTTGTCCTGCCAAAAATGCTAAATGTAAATCCTGAGCAAAAACTGGCCATTTTGCTAAAGTATGCAAATCCAAAGAAAAAACAGTTAACGAACTTGCGGTGCCAGAAGTAACTATGCTTAGTGTGCAACATAATTCAGGAAAACAGGCAAAGCTAATATGCACTGTTAAAATAACGGCACAACATAATCAGAGCTGTGTTATTGACCTACTTATTGACACAGGCTCAGCAGTGTCCATCCTTCCTGAATGTGTTTACAAGACAACGTTCTTTAAATGTCCTCTCACTAAACCAAGACTGCAGTTAGTAACATATTCGAAAGAACAACTGCCAGTCATTGGATGTCTGAAGGTGGATGTTTCTCATCAGAGTGTGACTGCATCATCAGAGATTTACATTGTTGAAACAGGAACACCCATTCTAGGAATGGACCTGGTGACAACACTGAATCTGCAGATATCTGGTGGTCAACTCTTGCCAGGAAATCAGCCTATCTGTGCGATGCTTCAGTCTGCTGTGGAGCCAGTCGTTGAACCCTCTACTGATTTTGGTTGTGCAAAAGGCTTCATCCATAAAGTGAAGACCCGGCCAGAGGTAAGACCAGTCCAACAAAAACTCAGACCATTACCGCTGTCTGTCCGTGATGCAGTGTCCGCAGAGCTCCGCTACCTAGAACAACATGGAATTATTGAGAAAATTGACTCCTCTGAATGGGTATCACCTATAGTAGTCACCCAAAAGAAAACAGGAGGTATACGCATGTGTGTAGATCTGCGGGAGCCTAATAAAGCGGTAGTGGTAGACAGTTACCCACTTTCTCTGATTGAAGATATTCTATCTGAACTGAGAGGTGCAGTGATGTTCTCCACCTTAGATCTGAAACATGCATATCATCAAGTTGAACTGCACACAAATAGTCGAGATCTGACTGCTTTTGTTACACATGATGGGCTGTACAGATACAAAAGGGTACCATATGGCTTGAGTTCGGCACCAGCAGCTTTCCAGAAAATGATGTGCACTATCCTACAAGGCTTAAAATGCGTACAGTGCTACCTTGATGATGTAATCATTTTTGGCTCCACACAACAGGAGCATGATGAAAACCTGAAAGCTGTCTTGCAGAAAATACACCAATCTGGACTGAAACTGAATGCAGAAAAATGTTGTTTTCAGCAGACTAAACTGCAGTTTTTAGGGCACACTCTATCCCCAGAAGGTCTTCTTCCTGACGATACTCACATCACAGCAATTCTGAAGGCGCCACCACCAAATGATGCACCTAGTCTGCGTTCTTTCCTAGGCCTCACTGCATTATACAGTAAATTTGTGCCAAACTATGCAACAGTGGTTGAGCAACTCCGAGCACTTTTGCGGAAAGACAATGCTTTCTCGTGGCCCACCAATGCTCAAGCTAGTTTTGATAAAGTGAAGCACATGATTGTAAACAGTTCTGCTTTAGCTCTGTTTGACCCCAGACTGCAGACTATTCTTTCCACAGATGCCTCACACTATGGCTTGGGAGCGGTCCTCACACAAGTCACAGAGCAGGGGACAGAACAGACTGTTGCATTCACATCGCGAAGCCTGTCAGAAGCTGAGAGGAAATACTCCATTGTAGAAAAGGAGGCCTTAGCCTGCGTCTGGGCTGCAGAGAAGTGGAGAACCTGGCTGTGAGGAAGAAAGTTCATACTCCGAACAGACCATCAAGCTCTCACAACTCTCCTGACCACAAAAGGTAACAACAGAGCTGGCCTACGGGTGGCGAGATGGTCTGCCCGTTTGCTTGAATTTGATTATGATATTCAGTACAGAAAAGGAACTCTGAACCAGGTCGCTGATTGTCTCTCAAGACTACCGCTCTCTGATGCAGCTGAGAACACTGACAGTACAGTGGAGTCTGTGGCAGCAATATTGACTGAACTCAGTACAGTTTCAAAGGATGATTTCAAAGCTGCATGTCGATCCTGCCCAGAGCTCACAGAACTTCGTACCCAACTGCAGACACAACGGACATCATGGAAGTCAGGTAACCAGAATGTCAGAGCATATTACCTGATCCGAGATGAACTTACTGTGGTGGATGACTTTGTTGTCAGAGGTACTCACCGCCTGATGTGTACTATCCTTGCTCTAATGGTGAAGTGGAAAGATTCAACAGAGTGTTAAAAGATTGCTTACAAACGGCTACTCTTCAGCCATGGAAGCCCTTTACTCATCAGTTCCTCACAGATTACAGGTCCACTCCACATGCCACCACTGGGATTCCTCCATCTAAACTACCTCATGGGAGACAAATGAGAACAAAGCTTCACATAATAAACCTTCCTAAGTCTGATGAGGATGAAAATGACCTGCATGAAAAAGTGAAAATGAAACAAACCAAGGTGAAGGAGTATACAGATAGACACAGGAGTGCTTTGCAGTCTAACTTTCAACCAGGTGATGAAGTGAAAGTGAAAAAACCCTGGATGATCAAGAAAGGTGAGCAGAGATACACCAAACCACAGAAAGTGATGGAAAGGACGGGGCCAAATACTTACCTCCTGGAGGACGGCAGAAACTGGAATGCCTCACGCCTTTCAGCAGTTCCAAACTCTGTTCCTGTGGAAAAATCAGATGAGGCACAGAGAGACCCCCCTTTATCCTCTGAGCATGTGATTGCTGACAATACGGACAGAAGAACCATTAGACAAAGGAACCCTCCTTTATGGATGAAAGACTTTGTGACTTAAAGTTATGAGTACAAAAGAGAAATGTATTATTAGTGAATGTAAAGTGATTTATCCAGTTATTGATAGAGGTAGAGTAACAGCTAATATTAAATGTTCTTCTTTAAGGGTGGTTTTGATGTGGTTAACGCTACAATGTTCACAAGACATGGTAAAAAAAAAAAAAAAAAAAAAGAGGGAAAATGTTATGTTCTGTTTATTGTACTAGCCCTTTAAGAAATGGTACAAGTGCGCGGGTAAAAGAGAGCGTGGTGTACAAGTTACTGGCATGCGCAGAACAGTTCAGTAAAGTGGATTCTGATTCTGGGGGCACAAAATCTGTCAAAAACATCAAATTTAAGAAAATAATAATAAAAAAAAAACCCAAATCATTTTCCTCATTGTCATTCATTTAAAATTTAAATATTATTTTAAATAATTTACTATTTTAATAATTCAATAATTCAATTTTTCATTGAATTGATTTTAATAAATAAATGATACAGTATCACCATTAATAATAACAATTAAAAAAGTGCATTAATATAGAATATAGAGTAAAAATGTGCTTAATTGTCATGAAAATAATGTAAATGCAAAAAAATACTTAAATCATTTTCTTTAATATTATTTTATATTGTGAAATTTTTTCACAATTAAAATATTTTAAATAAATGAATCATTTAATTCAATTTGATTAATAATGATATAACATTATAATTAAATCATATTTGATATATATATATATATACACACACACTCCGTATAACAACTGAGGCAATAAAATTTAGATTTATTTTACATAATTATAAATTTGAAAGAAAATAAAGACTTACATATTCCTTAAAAAGTCTTTATTTTCTTTAAAATTCAGAACAATACTTCTGACTTTTCCTTGTGATTCCACGGTGAAATGTGACCTGTGAACTTCTGAGACTCATTTCTGAATGCTAGACTGATTCTTGCTGTTAACATTCCCTGATATATTCCCTGCCGTGGACAAAAGCGTCTCCTCGAGACCGTCTCGGCCTTTTAATTCAACTCTGTCTTCTCTTGTGTTTTATTTATCTACCTCGGAGTTCCTAAATCTCATTCTGTGCTACTGAAAAGTCTCTGTTCCTCGTCAACATGCGTCGAACGCTGTTTAACGGTTGTCAGTCTTGCTCCTGTAGTTAAAAACAAAAAGCCGGTACGTACGTGGTGGAATTCATTGTGGTGTATCCAGACGGGCATTCTGGGATACAGGCACCGTTGTGGATGACGTACTCGTGGCAGTCGCCGCTCTTGCCTTTGCACTGGTTGTGGAGGTCCTGGCAGAATTTTAAGGACACGCAGCGCCATCCCTTGAAGGTGTAGTATCCCAGCGGGCAACGCTCCACGCACGCCTCGCCGAACAGGAAGTTGCGACAAGCTACGCATTTGGTAGCGTTCCCTGGCAAAGAGCAGCCGCCCAGACACTGATCGTGACAGCACTCCTTATGGGGGGTACAGGCACCGTGAGCACATTCGGAAGGACAAACTGTGATGGGAAAAAGGGAGAAAAGAACAAAGATAACTTATTAGATTAATTTTACTACAGGCAAATACATTGCTTTCCATGCACTGGTCAGAGATATTGGGCTTTCCATAACATGTTTAAAACTAGTGGAAAGAAAACATCCAAAATACACTATTATTGTTTATTTTATTGCACTTTATCTTTTTGCATCAGTAGATTTTAGCTACAATACATTAGTTTAATGTTGCCTATGCTTATGTTTTAATATGCCAATAAAAATACTGCCACTTTCTTCAGGTCTTTATCGCTTTATTAAAATGAACGGACAAAACTAGCCTGGGAAAACCCAGACAACTTCCGGCAAATTTAGATTTGCTCTGCAAGTGGGTCTGGCAAAGAGCTCATTCAAGCCTATTTCCAATCCGTCGATATCGAGGCACCAATCTGAAACGTTGGGGCGGGCTTTACACGATGACGACAGCGCAGCAACACTGAAGCAGATTTTGTACATTACAAAGATGGATGCCGCCGTGGAACATCACTCGTTCGAATCAGCTATCGCGTCTGTTTTAAGCGATTTAAAATGTTCCTTTTCGTTAAAACCCGAGCAAAGTACAACACTCGAATCCTTCATGTCTAAAAAAGATGTTATCGCTGTCTTAACGACTGGATCCGGCAAAAGTCTGATATACCAGTGTGGCGAGCAGGACGAGGCCGAGGGACGTGAGAGAATGGCGCGAGTGATAATGAATGACACCTGTGAGACGCACCGGTCTCGCATCTCTCACGGAGGAGCGGAAGCATAAAAGGAGGAGCGACAACGGTGAAGATCGAGAGAGGACAGGCCTGGATTTTATTTGATGTTTTGTTTTATTATGTGTGGCGGCAGTCGACCGTGGGGGACTGCCGTCTTTACTTTCGTTTTTGTATTTGTTTTATTTTGTTATTAAAATGTGTGAATGTTCGCCGGTTTCCGCCTCCTTCTTCCCATAACAACGAACCCTGTTACAACCAGCTTGCCCAGTTGGTGGCTAAACGAATGGGTGGGTCTTAGCGAGAGCCCTCTGCATATGTCATCTCCTTCATCGCTCTGATTGGTTTTAGGTCTATCCAATTGCGCCAAGAGGCATTTGAGCGACGTCCGTTGGTGACGCCCCTGTGGAAATGATTTGTCTATGGACCTTTGCCAGACCCTAACTCAGTTACAACTGAGAATTGTCTGGTTTTAACCAGGCTAGGACAAAACGTTTTTTTAAAAAGAAATTAACGGTTCAAAGATGGCCGCTGAGTGAAATTACTTGCCTTAAAGGGACTGGTTCAGGCGCTGCCAAAATAAAAGTCACGTTACTGTCAAAATAAAAGCCCACTTCTGACACTTAACGGTCAATGGCAATAATTTTTTTTAAATGCAAAAATCGGCCATGGCGACATATCGGTTCACCACTAGTGATGACCTCTGTAAAAACCTTTGACTTTGACAAGAATTTTGTCTTTACCCAATGTTCAATGTTAGATAATGCCTCATTTGCAAATTGAAACATTTTGTATCAAGTTTTCTGAAATATCAATCAACTGGGGAAGCATGGCAATATCTATTAGTAATATTTGTACCCTATTCACTGGTCTTGCCTTAAGGAAAACAGTATTTCTTGATTTTGACATTTGAAGCTCACACTTTTGCTCTTTCCTATAATGCAATACACTTGACTTTCAATTTCTATTATTCTATTCTATTTCAATTACAAAGTAATTTGTAATTTTTGTTCCCTACACTATTTTTTAAAGAAAATATTGTCCTGTATACAATATATCCTCCTGAGACCCAGAAAAAAAAAGTTTTTTGAATTTAGTTTTTTTCCATGTCATCACACTGTTTAGAGCACAATAAACAAATGGTAAAAAAACATATATATAAAATAATATTTTATTCATACGTTATGCTATGTCCTCTGTAGTGGACGCCAGGACTAAGTTGTTTAAAAAATAAAATGACATGAAATTATATGTATAGGCAAAAACAATGGGATTTTTTTTTCAATCACCAATACATTTTGGGGTTTCAGGATTTTTTCAACCAAAATTTGTATAAAGATTATTCTCAACTATGTTAAGAAAGAAATAATGGAATGAATTGATACACCATTTTACTTTTTGCAATATGTGGGTAAAATGGCCATGAGTTAATATTCCCATTCAATGCAATGTATCTATACACTGTATCTAATTTGCACATTAATGTGTTCTGGGAGCAACATTTAATGAAAGAATAAAGGGTAATAATTGGAGTAATAATTGGCAACATTTTAATAATAATATCTAACATTTCATAGGAATATTGATGTATAATTTATTTCCATATTCACTTGTTGTGTCTCCCAGAATGCCTGATAAACATGATTTTAGTCCTGATGTCCTCTACAGTGGACACGTTTGAAATCAATGCCCTGTTCTGTAACAGAAAGTTTTTTTTTTTTTTAAACCCCTTAACATTTTCCTGAGATGTTGTTTTATGAAATACAATTTGAAAAGTAGTCCAATTTATATTATAATTACACTATATTATCATATTTCCATAAGAATGCTACATTTGATCACTAAATTAATGTCAGACATTTTTAAAGACCAAGGAGAAGTTGTTTTCATGGTGAAACCTCCAAACATTTGGTATCTCTGAAAAGTCCTGAATGCGCTCTTTACAGGACACCCAGGTTGTGTCATGTGACATGTATGATGTCAGAGAAATTCACTAAAATATAATGTCCACTACAGTGGACAAAAGTCTATTCTTGGGTCCCAGGAGGATATACTCCACAGTATGGAAGATATAGAAATGTTTTTTTTTATACTTTATATATAAAAAATAATATTTTAAAATTATTAATAATAAAACAATATTTTTCATTATTAATAAAAAAACAGTGTACTGGTCTACACACATTTAAGATTTCATAAATGGGCTTCCGGTCTGAGCGGCGCCATGTGAGGACGTGGTTTACCGAACTCCTCGCCAACACTAGTAAGAAATATAGAAGTAGCAATTTAATGTAAATACCTTGAGTCACGCTCATTATTGAAGCCAAGACGTCGCACCAGGCTTGACATTTTGACCTAACGCTCGCTGAAAATGTCTAAAAACCCCCGGAAAGCGCCTGATACAAGGGTTAGCTCCAAGGCTAGCCCAGAGGCTAACGCTGCACCGGATGCTGTACCTAACGCCGCATTTGACCACGGACCCGGACATGAGGCCATCCTCCTAGCAATCGCCGAGTTGAGGACTGAATTGCTCACCAAAGCAGAGGCACAATCCGCTGAAATTCGGAACCAGGTTGACCAGCTAAGAGCAGAAATTAAACTAGCCAACGATAATGCTAACGCCAAGAGTGAAGCCCTAGATAAACGGGTGGTCGCACTCAAGACTGCAGCCAACAGCCACTCCGATCTGATTGCTGCTCTGGAGCGGGACATGGCTAACGTGCAGAGGGAGCTTGCTACCCAGAAAGCACGAAATGAGGACTTGGAGGCACGGTCGCGTCGGTCGCAATAACCTGCGTATTACCGGGATAAAGGAAAGACGGGAGGACGGGAAGCGCGCGACGGATTTTATATCTCAGTGCCTGAAGGAGACGCTTGGTCTCGATAAGCCCCCTTTACTGGACCCGGCACACCGTACGCTGCGCGTGAGACCGGGTAACAGTGACCCGCCGAGAGGCTTTGTCATCAGATGCCATTATTACCAGGAGAAGGAGGAAATACTAAGGAAAGCTGGGCAGATGAAACAGCTGACTACGGGGGACGGCGATAAGATCCGCATCCAACCAGACTACACACAGGCAGTGTCCAAGCAGCGGGCAGAGTTCAATGGAGTACGAGGCCTGTTAAGGAGTTGTGAGGGAATCCGCTACGGCCTGTGGTACCCGGCGGAGCTGAGGATAACGACGCCAGATGGTGTACGCACAAGCTTTAAAGACCCAAAGCAGGCCAAGGATTTCATAATGGAAAACCTGAAGCGCGCAACCTATAGATGTGATCGCGTAGATCGAGTGACATACTTTCCGTGGTTTCTTACATCCGATCCAGAGGTATGTTTGACTAACGTTATCCGGACTACCATCCTGATAAAGACTTTGTTTAAGCAAAGGGGGTTTAATATATCCAATCACCAGCTAAAGACCGTCAGCAAAGGCGCAAATTTACGACAAACTTTCTGTTTTGGGCTGATTTGGCCTTGATAACACATAACGGATTGATTTAAAATGTACATTTCCTTAAACCTAGAGCTTCACTGTTCATTGGACGGTACGGTTTTGAAACTCCATCGAAAGTTAATGTTATTCTACTGTGTCCATTTTTTTTTTTTTTAACTGTCGGGCCCTGTTAACGCATGACTGGTTGGCTCGGATATTTTGTTTATGTTGGTTAAGGTTACTCACATAAAGTGTAATATAAATAAGGTGCTAGATTGGACATTTATGGAGTGTGTACTATATTTGATTAACGTTACAGTTAAGATTAGCTGCAACATGTTATTCTGTCATTAATATAGTTTTGGTGGGACTCGGTCTCACAAGGTAAGCTTTATGTTGTGCGATAATGTACGACTGGGGGAGTATGCAGCCTTTTGTTTGGGGAGAGGCCAGCAATGGGGTTATGTGAATGATGTGTTTGATTTTGTATTTTTGTATTTTCTGTTGTTTCTGTTGTTTTTGTGTTTTTTATTATTGGTTTTAATTACACAATGCCTAAAACAGAGATCTGTCACTTGTGAAAAAGCTTTACGATCAGGTTGTTTCTAGGCAGGCTGCTGTCAGGTCATTTCAGATACTAGAATATGGCGAGAAATAAGTTTAGTGGTTCGGGGCGGGCAAACAATACATTTACGAACTGGAATATCAAAGGGCTTAATCACCCAGTAAAGCGTAGTAAGGTGTTTTCTCATTTATCAAAGCTGCAAACAGACATAGCATTCTTAACCGAGACAAACTTGCTTGATAAGGATCACTCCAGACTTAAGAGAGGGGGCA